ATTCCCTCGTGTAAAGTTGGGCAACATTAGAGAGAATTCGGAAAATGCAACCTTTGGAACAGCTGCTTCCTTACGACTTTAATGCTCAGTTAATCTTTTATCCAAAGTTCAGCCTTAATGCGGTTCAACTTTAAAGTTGAGTTAAACTTTAATGGGAAGTTTTGTGTTGCTGCCATGTTCAGCCTTTATGCCTAATTCAGCATTAAGGCCTGATTAAAGTTCAGAGTTCACCCCTACCTCCTAGTTCAGCATTAATGATCAATTCATCTTTAATCCCAAGTTCAGCTTGACGGTTGAGTTCAGCCTTATGTCCAGATAAACGTCAATACTGAGTTCAGCCCTGACGATTGATGAGTTCATCTTTAATCTTGTATTCCCATTTAATGCTGAGTTTAGCCCAACTATTTCCACCTTGAACAGCTTCAATATTCTAGAAAGACTTTCAACTTCTCGTTCTTCCCGAAGATCAGACGTTAATGTTGGATATCGGACAAAGTAACAGTGTTATAATCATGTATAGAACCGTTTCTTTGCAACTGCAGTTCTATGTTTGAATGGAATAACTCCTCTGAATTAAACTCAGCCCTTGGGACGTTTTATGGGCTTAGACTACATTTAGGGACAGTTTAAGGTTTGAATCCATGGTTGTTCTTCTCTTTATCCACCAGGTCACCAAACCCCTTGGTCAAATGGCTTTACTTTATCCAAAAGATGCTTTTCACCTTAAGGTGTGGATTCAGTAGAGTTCAGTAAAGTTATTCCTAGCTAAACTTGCTTATTCTTGTCTGAATGGATCTAGTTTGGTGCAGCCATATGCGAGGTGTCTTTAAACTATTACAACAAAGTTGTGTGAAGGAAATTGTCCAAAGTCTTTCTGGATGCTGAAGCTTTCTGGATTGTTTTACCAAAATATAGGGGGTGTTCCTCCCTCCATCAAACTTTATATTCCGTAAAAATTCAAAAAAAATTCAAAAAATATCCACTGGACTTGGTTTTCAAGATTTGAAGACGTTTCGCCACCTCTCCAGGAAGCTTTCTCAATTCAAATGTGTGACACATTTGAATTGAGAAAGCTTCCTGGAGAGGTGGCGAAACGTCTTCAAATCTTGAAAACCAAGTCCAGTGGATATTTTTTGAATTTTTTTGAATTTTTACGGAATGACTATGACCTGGATGACTGAGAACCTTCATCAGCATCAAACTTTATAGTTATTAAGGGTTGTCTGACCTCATTTTAAATCTTTTGAATGATGATGGGAATTGTAGTGCAATACATTTGGCAATACATTTTACAAGGGTTCATATTTATCAGTCTAAAGTATTCTGATTCTGTTTTGTTAAACCATCTAACTTATCGTTTAAGCCTAACATCTGGAATTTTACTTGGTAAATACTTCCTAAATTTGTTCTCCTGAACTGAATGTCTTTCAGTACATTAAATATTAGACGTAGACAACTTTTATTGTCATTTTGTATACATTATATATTTAGTACCGCTTTTCAGACAGAATTTCCATTCCATAAAGTGGAGCAGTGATCAAATGTAAACAGTGTAGGGAAAAAAAAAACGCATTGATATGGAAGTTCAGAGCATTAATATATATGGTGTAAATATTAGAGTTGCACCCATTTTATTACAGATACCCGATTACTGGCTGGGCAGTATTGGCCGATACCGATACCATCTGTTTGAAATTGATGTGTGTGTATATATGAAGAACTGCATACTACTTGGATGTAAAATAGTTGCCATCATGGTTTTGTCAAACTGCTGCCTACCTTTGTGAAGCAGGAAAAAGACTAATACGAAGTGAATCCAGTAGAACTTTGTCTTGCCTACCTGGAATGGGTCACAATAGTGGAATAAACTTTTGCCTCTCAGAATTGGTATCGATATTGATTGATATTGGTATCGGTGCAGCACTAGTAAATATGCAGTATTTCAGGTTTGGTGTTATCAAACCAACTATGGGATACCAAACTGATGCAAGAAAAGTGGTGAAACAGATAGAACACTTTTCTAAAAGGGAGTAAACTCATTCTCCATGTGTGAAGAAGAGTTGGTGTTCTCCTGGTCCTCCATATGGAGTCGTTCATTGCGCCCCCCTCCAGTGTTTGGGCTGTTCTTTTCTTTTATTGTCACAGTGAACCTTCCCTCTCAGGCTCTCTGCATCAGAAGTGCATCCAGGACTTTCCAGGCCTCCATTGTTTCTTTGCGCTGTCAAACTCTAATGTGCTATTAATGATTCAGTGTCAGCTTTCGTGCCCTGATTTTGAAATACGGGATACCGAACTGGGCGTGTCTGCAAGGTGTTACTGTTGAGCTGTCATTTCATCACAAAGAGAGCAGTCAAGCTTTCATCATGAATCTCAAGGATCACATGAACGGCAGCTTTATTCTCCTCTAACCCAGTGGGACCTGGAAGTGTGTAAACAAGGCGCTGGAATTTCTGCTGCATCCAGTATAGACAACAAATCGTTCTATTTTTGGCAGCAAGCAGGGTTTCTTCATCAGGGGCGGGCCCAGTGGAGGCGAGGCCGAGCTGTTATTCAAGTTTACACAGGCGGCTGGAAAATCTATCCAGCAGCTTACAGACACATTTCTTGGTGAACTCCTCGTAAACCAAAAACAGCATCAAATCAATTTGTTTTGATTACTAATCTTGGGTCATAACAGCTTCTGGCCTAAATGTTTGCAGTGATGCTTTGCCATCAACTCATATTGTGTGATCCCTGCTCAGCTTTGCCCCATGGCACCTGACTGGGCTGAAAAGGATCCTAACTTTATTCACTGTCATGCATGTCAGGTTTCAGGTTTAATCACCTCCCTGTAGGAACCCCTGGGATGTCAGAGATCCTGCTGCAGGCTCCAGAGAGAAAAAGAAAAGGCTGGTTTTGAAGAAGTTAATTTATTTTATTTACCATGACCCTTTTCTCTTCAGAACTGCTTTTAAAAAAAGATTCAAATGTTCTGGTATTTTAATCAGTTGTCTTTCTAGCTGGTCTTATTAGCGCCCCCTGCTGCTCGTTTTTTAAAACTGCACCCAGTTGCCCTTTTTCCACTTTTTTCAAGACCTGGAACTTCTGTTCTCCACTCCTTTTGAATCTGCTGTTCTCCCATCCTTGTGATCATTTATTTATTTTTCTTTGTTTTAATCCAATTCATGATACTTTTTTGTTCCAGTTTTACAGTTTTCCTGAAAACTTGACAGACTATGTTGACATGATTTTTTATTCCCTCTATGTGCTGGGTCTGGTTAAGCTGGAAGTTTTATTTTATTTTTATTTTCTCAACTTTTCTCTCTAATCTATGATCAACTTGCTGAAGCTCAAAGGTTGTGGGAAAGCAGAACTTCATATGGGGGCATTCCCCATTTGAAAAGGATTCTTATAGGATTACACAATTATATAAAACCAAAAAAATAGGATTTAAACACAGACAGTGGACATTAGGTTAAAGAAGGTCAGCAGTAAATTAGCTGCAGTATCAAAGCTTATGGATGGAAAATTAGGTGGAGGGAAAACCTGTAAGAAAAGCAGTGAAAGCAACAGCAGCTTTTTCTAATCAACTTATTTAGAGGGAACTTTTTTTTATTTTTATTTGCATTAATTCAATGGAGCTAAAATAACAGAATAATAAATAATTGAACTATATATGAGAGTAAGATGAAGTTCTACACCATTAATGTCTCTCTTTGTTGATGCAGAGGATGAAATCAACAGAAGATGGTCAGCATCTGAACTGATTTATTCTTCACTTTGCTTCAGGCGCGTGCGCGTTTAATTGATTTATGGTATTTCCAGGTGAGGATAAGCGTTCATCATGGAGGCAGGCATTGGGAGCTCAGCGGGACTCTGGGTCCGACTGGATCATCTCTGCGGTTCTGGATCGGTTGTTGATCCAAACACAAAGAAGGCAGCCAGAGCCGCTGCGGCGGCGCTCCTCATTACCTGCTGTTTGTCTGGGGAAAGAGGAAGTATGGCAGCATTTCCGTTTCATCATGCCGTGGGCTGGTACTTTCCCTTCAGCGATAATAAAAGGAGCGCAGCAGCAGGCAAAGGTATCAAACGGATCCAAGTCAGTGAGGTCTGAGCCAGAAGATGGAGATAAAGCAGGTGAGACCCCCTCCCTACATCCACCTCCATCATCACCATCACCATCATCACTCTCCTCATCCTCTCCTCTCCTCCCTGCAGATCCTCATCCTCCTGCTGTGCGCCGCAGCGGCGCGCTCCCGGTGCCACAATGGGACCAACCTGGAGGCAATAGCGCTCAAGAGGCTCCAGAGGCACTACCCTCAGCCCCTGACCATCACGGCCTCAGATGACTCCTCCAGCTCCTGCCCGGTCGAGCTTTACCAGAAGCTGCCCTCCGTGGAGGTCAAGGATCGCTCCCTCTCTCCCTGGAAATGGCGGTGCGTGTTTACGCAGAGCAAAATTTAGTTTTTACAGCACGGTAAAACCTGAAGGATGTTTTAGAAGTCAAACGCTTCTCCTTTTCTAAGTTAACCGGGAAGGAAATGTAAAACAGAAGCAGGGGAAATTAAAAAATCCAAACTGGATGTTGACAGATTGATGAAACCCTGAGGAAACTCCAGATGACTTCCCAGTTAGACTTTAACTGAGTAAATTCCCCGCTTGACCCGGGATGCTTCGCTTTTTGCTATAATTTCTTTATTTATGGCTCTCTGCGTCATTAAGGTCTGCAGGATGCAACATCGCTCTTTTACGCACGCGTAATTGGCAGCCAAAAGAAACCTTCTAATGCATCTCTTAAAACCTTTAAAGAAACATCAAAGTAGCTGGTTTAGTTAAGCTTGGCTTTAATACCGTGCAGGGAAAGTCCCGGTGCGGCTCGTCCTGCAGGCATCCATCTGCACCATCAGCTGACTCTATGACAGCTGAACAAACTCTCACATCGTTAAGCAATAGAAATAGAAATCTGTGCATCACTACTGATTCAGTAAGAATCACGATATGATTGTCCTCATGGACATTATATCACTTAATGTCCATTATATAATAAGAAGAATCATGGTGGTTTAAACAAGGCTTTTCTCTTCAACGATCATTTAAAGACCGAATTTTCACAAATGAAATAGAAAATCCAACCAGATTCTCCAGAGAAAAGCTCTTTGTCTCCGATGGAAGAATGGATGCAAATATTTCAGTTTAAAAACATAATCCCCCTATGTTTAGAGTACAACAGTTAACCTGTTAACTAGAGTAGAATAACTAACCAGTTTGGAGTAGAATAACTAACCTGTTTAGTCTAGAATAACTAATATGTTTA